CAAGGGGACCGTGACTAGGCAAGGGGAACTGTTTCTTGGAGACTTTGTTATGAATCGCATGTATAAGAGGGAAGCACCCATACGTGAAATCGGGGGCTCGGGTTTTTTTTGGGACGTGAGTCCCCCCAGCTCCCCGGGCCCTTAATAAAGCACCCACAAAACTTATTCAAGTTTTGTGTCATTTATCAATCGGGCAACAGTTTTTATGGCGACCGCGGCAGGACTCTGAGGGCAGCCGGGGCAGTTCCGCGTCTCGATCCACTCCGAGCCGGCACCGAGCATTTCTCGGGGAGTCATTGGTCGTGTCCGACCCCCGCGCCTGTTGGACAAACTGCATCAAGGTAAGCCCAAAGATGCTTTATATTGGAAAAAGGTGATAATTGGATTTGGATTTAGTGGTTGGTAAAAAAGCCTAGGCTCCGGCCATAAGACGTCTAAGGACGCAGGACCGGAACTCGCCTCCTGTTTTTTTTTTTTTGGGGGAAGGACGGCGAGAAGGTATATTGGTTTAAGGTGTATTGGTTTACTGGGACTAAAGGTGGAATTAAAGGTTGTAATATGATGTCTTGTAAAACTTTTAAAACCTTACTGCAAGCCAATGGTAAAATACCTGGAAATACGCCATTAGGTTGTATATTGAAACGGTGGAAAAGTGAGGGGTATTATCAAGAATTGGATAAAAGTAAAATGATAGATTATTGTAATCATTGGTGGCCTGAATATGAGATTGGGCAAGCAGGATGGCTGGTGAATGGTACACTGGAATTGGGGATAATAGAATCTTTGATGCAATTTTTAAGGAGAAATGAGAAATGGGATGAAATACCATATTTGGATTTGTTTTTCGTTTTGTACTGGAAAGATGAATGGCAAAAGGAGTGTGGTATTTTGGTTTTAGAAGTGAATGATGAGAGGGAGTGAGTGGGATGTAAAGAAAGAAAGGAGCGTAATTTGTATCCTTCAGTTGAGGAAGATTTGTCTTATTGTATAGCACGCCCGAGGGCTCTGGTTGCTCCTAATCTGCCCCCTGCTCCCCCTGCGGATATAGCTATAAAAATGGGATCTAGTGAGAGTGATAGTGATGGTGATAGTGAAAAGAATGAGAGTGTTAAAAGAACTCCGTTAGCAGGGCGGACTTGCAAGGGGAGGAAGGGGGCAGAAGGGGCCACAGTTAATTGTGCCGTTAAGGGAAGCTGTGGGACTACAGGGAGAAAGGATACTTATAAAGGTGCCTTTCTCCCCCGGGGATTTGGTAATATGGAAGCAATCAGCGGGGAGTTATCGGGAGGATCCTGAAAGGGTGGCAAGGGTGGTTAAAATGGTAATAAAGACTCAGAATCCGGACTGGAATGATTTACAGGTATTATTAGATACTATAATGGATTCCACGGAAAAGGAAATGGTTATTAGAGCCACTAGAGAAAAGGCTCGTGAGGAAATTCGGTTGAGACAACTAAATGAAACAGTTGATGAATTGGTACCTAGTGAGGAACCAAGGTGGGACCCAAACTCTACGGGAGGAATAAGGGCTGTAAAACGATATCAGGAATTGTTGGTGGAAGGAATTAGAACAGGAATACCTAAGACTATGAATTGGTCCAAGTTGTATTCGGTCAAGCAGGACAAGAATGAGTCTCCGTCTGCCTTTTTAGAACGATTAAAAGACATGGCTCGGAAGTTTACTAATTTACATGTAGAGGATCAATCAGGAAAACTTCAATGGGCATTGTTGTTTATGGGGCAATCACAAGAGGATATTAGGAAAAAGTTACAAAAGCTGGAAGGAGAGGACACTCGGAGTTTGGATAAAATGTTGGAGGTAGCGTGGAAGGTGTACAACAACAGGGAAAAAGAAACTGCAAAAAGACAACAAGCTAGTATTCTGGCTGTAATGCAACAGACAGGGGCAGGAGGAAGACCCATTAGGGGTCGAGGTCGGGGAGGAGCTAGTCACGGACAGAGGGGGCTGGCAAGAGGTCAGGGAGGATTTGGGTTTGCACCTAACATGGGGAGGTTGGATCCAAACCAGTGTGTGTTTTGCCGACAATTGGGACACTGGAAAAATGAATGCCCGGTTAGAGGAGGTATGGGCATGGGAAACATAGGATTAAGGACAGGTCCAATGGGGAATGCTCCTGTGGGAGGATTCACGGGAGGACCAACAGAAGTCGCTCAAGCACTAGTTTTGGGAAACTATCAGAATCAAAGCTGACTAGAAAAGGATCTTAGGGTAGTTTTAGAGATAGATGGAAAGGATCAAGAATTTATGGTAGACACTGGAGCAACATATTCTGTTCTTAATAGACGATTGGGACCTTTGAGTGACACAACAGTACAGGTGGTGGGGGCAACAGGGAAGCTAGAGGAACAACCATTTTTAAAACCTTTAAATCTTAGGTTTGGGGGGAAAGAATTAGATCACCAATTTTTGTATATGCCAAATTGCCCCACACCCCTTCTTGGCAGAGACCTGTTGTCCCGACTTAATGTGAAAATAATATTTGAGGGAGGAAGGGTGAAATTGGAAATACCTGAGGAACAAATAGCAGGCATTTTTGTGATCAAGGAAGTGGATGCCTCTCCTATTCCAGAAGAAATTGAGCAGGCTGTAATACCCTGGGTATGGGAGTCAGGGGTCCCCGGAAAATCTAAAGCTGCACAGCCAGTAAAGGTGGAACTAAAGGAAGGGGCCCAACCAGTGAGGGTAAAGCAATACCCCTTGAAGCTTGAGGCAAGGAGGGGAGTAGCCCCGTTAATTAAACAATTTTTGGCTCAAGGAATATTACAGGAATGTGAATCGGAGTATAATACTCCAATTTTTCCAGTAAAGAAACCTAATGGTAAGTACCGTTTGGTACAGGACTTAAGGGCTATTAATGAAATAGTGAAAGACATACATCCAGTTGTTGCTAATCCTTATACCTTGTTAACATCTGTATCGGAGGAGTTTAAATGGTTCTCAGTGATTGACCTTAAAGATGCCTTCTTCTGCATCCCACTGGCAGTAGAGAGTAGGAAATATTTTGCCTTCGAGTGGGAGAGTCCTGATTTTGGGAGAAAGAAGCAGCTTACGTGGACGAGACTCCCACAGGGATTTAAATGCTACCCTACTATTTTTGGAAATCAACTGGCCAAGGAGCTGGAGGAATGGAAGATAACCCAGGTAACAATATCCCCATCCTTGTATGTAGTCCTGCAGTAGGTGGACGACGTTTTTCTGGCTACTAAGGAAAGGGAAATGTGTGTGGAATTAACAATTAAATGACTCAACATGCTGGGCCAAGCAGGGTATCGGGTTTCTAAGGAAAAAGCTCAATTGGTCAAAAATAGCGTTAGTTATCTCGGTTGTAAGATCACACAAGGGCAGAGACGTTTGGGAGTAAACAGAATAGAGGCTGTGGGATCTCAGCCTCTCAGAACTGGGGGGCAGAGTGAACGAGACCACCCCTGGGGGGCTCGGGAGTCCTGGAATGTTGCCAGAAATGTCTGGTGGCTGGACTTGGATCCCACATGGGAGATGACATCAGTATGAGGATGGGAGGATTTCACCGGGGTGAACGGTGAAGGGACAGGTTAATTGGAGTGTGAGATACAGGGTTTAAAATTTCTGTACAGGGGGGTCGAGAGAGGTAAGATGGAGGAATTGGGGCGTGCCCTTCTCCTTCTTCTTCTTCCTTTAGGCCTCCATTTTCTGTGGTGATGTTGGCACTCCGGGATTGGACCTTACTAGGGGAACACTGGTTAATAAGGGTAGAGGGTATTGGAGAAAAATGATAAATATTGTGTACGTAACTCCGGGTATAAAGATAGGTGGCCGCCCCAGGGGCTCTCAGTGTGTGCCCATGGCTGACTGCTGAGCAGAACTCTGTCAGGCCAAGAGAAAATCTTTTAGATAAGCATTTAATAAACACCGAGACCGAGAAAAAATCTGAAGTTTCCTCTCGTCCTTTCGAACCCGGGGGCCCAAGGCCATCTTTGGGCTTTTTCCAGACCATCTAAACAGCCCCAAAATCCGACAACTGGAATCCCTGGGCGGGCTATCTCCCACCAAACCTTTCGGGGGGGGGAAAAGCCCTGAAGAGCTGAAGAGCCAAGAGGACAGCACTGATAACTCCTGAGGAGAGAAGCCTGAAGAAAGAAAGAAGAAAAAGAAAAAACCGGCCAGGAGGAACTGCAAAAATCAGCAGTCACTGAGAACTCCATCTCTCAGCTTCTGCTGAAGACAGTTCGTAGCAGAGCGGCCTGGACTGGGACCAGAAAGGTGCCTCTGGACCCATCTCTCGTGATCTGCTGGACGGAGACTGAGGGCTTTCAGACCACTCTGACGACAGATTCGGTAAGAAGGCCAAAATAAGATCATGAGGGCCACACTCTCCCAGGAACAACGGGAAATCTTATCCACCTTACAAAGTGTAGCAGAATTATATACAGAAGGGATCCCAAAGAAAGAATTAAAACAGCTGTTACTATGGGCAAGGCTCAATTATCCACTTGCAGAGACATGTTTGTTGTTCGAAGTGGGGTTTTGGCAAGAAATTAATAGGCATTTATATATTTTAGCAACAAAAAAAGATGAGACAGTGTTAAAGCTACTCTCACCGGCAAGAATCATGTTACAAGGTATCTCAGTGCAGTCTAAAAGACTGGAAAAGCAGCGAGAAGCTGCGGTACCCTCAGAGGTGGGGGCGGAGCGGAGCTCCGGGAAAAAATTAGCTCTGGCTTTAAAAAGCCAGGGGGAAAGGGCTCTCGAAAAAAGAGAGCAGGAAAAAATATTAAACCCCCCGATCAAAAAATGCAACAAACCCCAAGGGCGTCCTGAAACTCCAGAGAGTGTGGAGGAGTCAGGAGCGGAAGGGGGGGAGCAGGAAGATAAGGGATCGGGGGGGGCGCTTGTTCGCGGCGAAAGCGGCGACGCGGCGGCAGCGGCAAACGCGGGCAGCGCGGGTGAAGATGAGGAGACGCGCGCGGAGGGCGAAATTCGCAAAAACCGGGGTGTAGACTCACATACGAGCGCGGGGGCGGCGAAGGCGGGAGGCGGACTAGGGGTAAATGTGCAGCCTCAGAGGGCCACCGTGGTGAGACGCAGGAGGCGCGCGGTTGTGACGTCAGACCCGGTGCGGAGGTCGGCTCGGATAGCGGCGCGAGCTGGGGTGCTGGAGGGAAAGGTGAACACAACGTCAGAGGAGGAGGAGGTGGACTCAGGGACAGACCGAGGGGCGGGGACCTCGGAGGTGAAACGGGGGGGAGACGATGACGTCAGCTTGGGGGACACAGGGAGCGGCTCGGAGAGCACGCATGCGCAGAAAGTAGGGCGCGGGCGAACCCGAGCCCGGTCCCCTGTGACGTCGCGGGTGAGGAGGGGCCGTGTTAGGGATTCTACGTCCCGGGGCTCCACACCATCTCCAGATCCGGTGCCTTTGGTTCAGACCCTCGGAGTCCTAGTCCCTTCCCTTCCCGGGAGACGCCGAGCCGGAAGATGAAGTGGGGCAGTCGAGCTTGCTCCGTCATCCGAGCCAGGGAGGCCGGTGACAGCGCCACCTAGTGGCAGGAGGGCAGAAGTGCACCACATGCCGGGTCGGCTCGGCGGAGCCACAGCGCCATCTCGTGGCGAGACTGCAACAATGCAGCAATTTTTTTCCAACAATATATAAAAAGAAAAGCACCTCGAAGAAGAAAATGTTAACACGACAAAGGGATTATCCATCCACTTCGGAATTTCATGAAGATGATGAAAGCTCAGATGAAGAACAGCTACAAGGGGAAGATGTCATAAGGATCACAGCATCGGAAGGTGTCCCAACATGGATGCTATCAGCAGCAGAAGCAGCAAAAAGCTTCTTGCATTCATTCGATACAGTAAAGAAGAAATATCAACAGGATCCTCGAGTTTCCTTTTCGGATTTAGGAGCAAGGCCAAAAACCTCAAGGCGAAAAATGAGACACCATGAATCACCGATGACATCCACAACACCATTATTCATGCAAATCCCAATGGAGTCTGATGAAGAGGGGTTTCAAGAGCCGGTGAAGACGATGGATTGGAGGCAAATCAGAAAAGCATTGGAAAAGGAAAAGCATTTATTCCCGGGATCAGGGGATTTGACAATGCCAGTGACATATGATGCCCAGGGACAGAATCCAAGGTGGGAAAGGATGGGTCATGAGACACTCAAAGACTTAGGGAAGGCGGCTCAAACTTTTGGGCTGAACTCACAATACTTCAAACAGCTATTAAGAGGGACATTCTCTATATATGATCTCACACCATATGATATTCGAAGTATTGTGGCAATGATCCTCACTGACACACAGAGTCTTATCTGGGAAAAAAGGTGGAGAAAATATCTTGCTGAGTTGCGGAACAGATACCAAGGTGGGCCAAATGCGAACCTCACAGAAGGGCAATTAGCAGGGGATCCTCCAGATGACAATCCAAGGGAACAAGCAGCGCGGCTTCCACGAAGAGTGTTAAGCGACATCAAAGAAGCAGCGCGATTGGCAATCATACAAATTACGCCGACAGGAGCTCCGGATGTTCCGTTCTCTTGCATCAGGCAAGGTCCCACAGAGCCATTCATGTCATTCATCGACCGACTCACGCAAGCCGTGGATCGACAGGTGACAACAGAAGAAGTGAAGAGGCCTCTCTTGGAGAATTTAGCTTTCGGCAATGCCAACCCGGATTGTCAACGGGTGATTAGCACCATGCCAGGACGGCCATCCTTGGCAGAGATGGTGGAGGCATGCAGCAAGGTGGGGACGCCTCAGCACATCGCAGCGATTGTGAAGAATGAATTAAAAGATGAATGGGAAGAACAGCTGAAGGGACGCTCAGAAGGGCAATCAGAGAACAAGACATTGGAGAAGATGTTCGAGAAATTACTCCATCAACAGGACGAAAACATCAACAAAGTTCTTGCGGCAATGCAGAAAGAGAACAACCCCCAAGGAGGACAGTGCTACAGATGCGAGGGAGATCATTAGTGCTTGTCCAGACTGTCAGCTTGTGCAGCCACCTTCTTCTACCGGGGCCATCAATCCGCGGGGGCTGCAAAGTCTTCAGTTGTGGCAAGCTGATGTCACAAAATACCCATCTTTTGGGAGGCTCAAAAATGTTCATGTTTCTGTAGATACATTCTCAGGTGCAGTCTTTGCTTCAGCACATGCTGGGGAAACAGCAGACCATGCTTGCCGACACTTTCTGCAGGCATTTGCAGCCTTAGGTGTGCCTCAGGAGATAAAAACAGATAATGGTCCAACATACACAGGCAGGGTGCTTGACAGATTCCTGAAAAGATGGGGTGTCAGACACACGTTTGGTATTCCGCATTCACCCACAGGTCAGGCAATCATTGAGAGAACACATCACACCCTAAAATCCCTTCTGGACAGACAGAGAAGGGGTGAGCCAGAGGCAACACCTCACATGAAATTAAATAAGGCACTGTATGTGCTGAATTTCCTAAATAGCTCATCCTCGGAACCTGATCCACCGATCGTGAGACATTTTCTAAACAACACACAGGCAAAGCTAAGGGAAAATCCTTTAGTTTTGATCAGAAACCCAGAAACAGGACAAATAGAGGGTCTTTTCAAACTAATCACTTGGGGCAAGGGTTTTGCTTGTATTTCCACAGATCAAGGTCTGAAGTGGGTGTCGGCGCGGCACGTGAAGCCCTTCCGGACGCGAGAGCACGAGAACACTGATCCGAGAAACAAAGAGACGAGTACTCAGACAGAAGTCGAGACTCAGACTGCGAAAAGCGACCCGGAAGAGAAATAAAAAGAAACTAAGAACTTTGGGGGGTTTTCACATAAAAACAAAAAAGATCTTTTTGGTGCAAACAGAAGGGGGAGATGTGGGATCTCAGCCTCTCAGAACTGGGGGGCAGAGTGAACGAGACCACCCCTGGGGGGCTCGGGAGTCCTGGAATGTTGCCAGAAATGTCTGGTGGCTGGACTTGGATCCCACATGGGAGATGACATCAGTATGAGGATGGGAGGATTTCACCGGGGTGAACGGTGAAGGGACAGGTTAATTGGAGTGTGAGATACAGGGTTTAAAATTTCTGTACAGGGGGGTCGAGAGAGGTAAGATGGAGGAATTGGGGCGTGCCCTTCTCCTTCTTCTTCTTCCTTTAGGCCTCCATTTTCTGTGGTGATGTTGGCACTCCGGGATTGGACCTTACTAGGGGAACACTGGTTAATAAGGGTAGAGGGTATTGGAGAAAAATGATAAATATTGTGTACGTAACTCCGGGTATAAAGATAGGTGGCCGCCCCAGGGGCTCTCAGTGTGTGCCCATGGCTGACTGCTGAGCAGAACTCTGTCAGGCCAAGAGAAAATCTTTTAGATAAGCATTTAATAAACACCGAGATCGAGAAAAAATCTGAAGTTTCCTCTTGTCCTTTCGAACCTGGGGGCCCAAGGCCATCTTTGGGCTTTTTCCAGACCATCTAAACAGCCCCAAAATCCGACAGAGGCAATATGTGCTATTCCTTTGCCTCGTAACCATCAGGAATTGAGATCTTTTCTAGGAATGGTGGGATGGTGTCGACTGTGGATCATGAATTTCGGTCTCCTAGCCAAGCCACTGTATGAGGCCTTGAAGCAGCATCGACTGGAGTGGACAACACAGCAAAAGAAGGCCTTCCAGGAATTGAAGCAGGCACTAAAGGAGGCCCCAGCCCTAGGACTCCCTGACCTGACCAAGGAATTCCAGTTGTACGTGAATGAGAGGCAAAAACTGGCATTGAGGGTCCTCACCCAGAAGGTGGGATCCTGGAAGAGGCCAGTGGGATACTTCTCTAAACAACTGGATTCGGTAAGTTCCGGGTGGCCCTCAGGTTTACGAGCCGTGGCGGCAACAATAATTCTTATTCAAGAGGCCCGGAAATTGACTTTGGGGGCAAAAATGAAAGTGTTTGTTCCCCATATGGTCATGGCCATTTTGGAGCCAAAGGGGGGTCACTGGCTATCATCCAGTCGAATGTTGCAATACCAGGCCATCCTGAGAGAACAGGATGATATTGAAATAAGGACTACTAATCATGTTAATCCAGCAGAATTTTTAGGCAGTGATCAGGAGGCTGGGGGACTGGTGCACGATTGCGTAGAGGTAATTGAACAAGTATATGCCAGCAGACCCGACCTAAAGGATGAACCATTGGAAGACCCTGAATGGGAACTATACACTGATGGATCCAGTTTTGTCGAGAATGGGACTCGCTATGCCGGGTATGCAGTGGTAACATTGGATCAGGTAATAGAGGCAAAGGCTTTGTTACCTGAAACTTCGGCCCAGAAGGCAGAGGTGATTGGACTCACCAGAGCCCTGTATTTGAGCAAGGACAAAAGGGTTAATATCTGGACGGATTCTAAATATGCCTTTGGTGTGGTTCATGTACATGGGGCGTTATGGAAGGAAAGGGGGCTTTTGAATTCACAGGGAACTAACATCAAGCACCGGGAAGAAGTGCTACAGCTACTGGATGCAGTACATAGTCCCAAAGCAGTTGCAGTTATGCATGTTAGAGGACATCAGACTGCGGCAGGAGACGTTTACAGAGGAAACCGATTTGCTGATGCTACAGCACGGCAAGTGGCATGGGAAATATGGATTCAAATGGCATTGGTACCGGTAAGAACGAATCCGGCTACCCCATACCTGAATCAGGAGTCCAAATATTCAATAGAAGATGGAAAACTAATAAACTTGCTAGGGGCACAGAGGAATCAACTTGGGTGGTATGTTACACCAATGGGACAAATAGTGGTACCAACCCGCATAATGAAATTTATTTTGGAATCAGAACATAACAAATGTCATTGGGGGGCAGAAGTATTGGTAAAATTTTTGAAGAATGAGATAATCTCTAATCAGATGTTAACAATGGCAAAAAGAGTTAATGCAATGTGCCCGGTATGTTTGAAAAATAATCCAGTAGTTAGGAGACAAATACAAATGGGAAAGCTGCAAGTCGGGTCACAACCGGGAGATTACTGGCAGGTTGATTTTTCTGAATTGCCTAGGGCACA